GGCCGGTGAGTTGAGCGCAGAGCGCTGCGGCTGGCCGGAGCTGAGGGAGCTGGGTTACCGCCGGCTGAGCAGGCCAGGAAGTAGCCATCTCTTGATAAGTCCTGAGTAAACGTGCTGTGCCAGGAGGAGACTGAAACTTTCCTATTTCAAAAGTTTCAAAGAAGAAGAAACCTGTTCCCTGTCACGATTAAGCATCTGAGGTCAACTCTGCTATTAATTGTCCAGTGTAGTCTCGAGCTCCAGTCATACTGCCTTTTTCGTACTTACATTTTATCATCTCTAAAGCAGGAAAAAGTGTTTCTTTTGTTCTTTGGGGATTTTTTGTTCATTTTTTTTTCCTTTTTGCCTGCAGTGACAGGATTTAAAGTGTCAGAAAAATGAAAAGTCCTCAAAATTGAGAACACTCCAAAATATGAACTGTGACTTGTTTTTCTGACTTGGGTCCCTTTGCTTTTCAGAGGTGATGGTTCTCTCAAGTAATGGATCCTGAGAATTCAGCCACTGTAGTCTCTATCGTTTATCTTTAGGAAAAGGCAAAGCTTCTAAGAAGTCAGCCTGCGCAAATTGTGGAACCCAGAGGTCTTCTGTACATCCAGCAGAGAGAATTTGCTGTGACTACCCCTAAAGATGGTACGTAGAAAGGTAAAGATTTTTTTTTTTCCTACTGAAGCAGTGAGTATGACAGCAAAGTTTTTACTATGTTTCTATCTTTTAAAATAGGTTCTGTTTCCATTCTTGGCTCAGATGATGCAACTACCTGCCATTTGGTTGTACTCCGACACACAGGTACCTTAAAGGATGTTCAGAGCAAAAGCTGTACACTTGAAGTGATGGAATAGGGTCAATATTGGTTTATGCTGCATTAATAAAACGAACTGCAATTATGTTTATATAAACTTGAATCTCGAAAAGCTGCATGATGTATTAATTAAATGCCTTGTTCAGAAGTCTAGTTTATTCAGTGTCAGAAGCTCCATGTTCTGTTTGCTAAATCAGCAGATCACAAACTTAATCTCTAGTGGCCAATGGGCACTATTAGTTCTTGGCCATGTGCATGTCGGAGGTAATGTTCGGCTGTTGGGACAGGGTTTGTGTGCTTCTTCTGAAACAGCTGACTTCCCACTAGGCTGGGAGCTCTCATAGATCTCCAGCGCTACCTGCAGGGTTTGGTAATAGCAGAGGTTCAGTTTGTGGGAGGACCTCTGCTACGTTCCTGGATTTCAGACACTGGAGATGTTGTCTGATCCTGAGTAGGTGGTTATTTGTACTCCTCCACTGGTTCCTGGGTTGTGCAGAGTTTATAATGGGGCACATAAAGAAGTTGCTGCCGCCTTCAGTCGGTCCAGCTTCTGCTGGAGGTTACTTTCCTTGGCGGGGAAAGTGGAAAGGTGGCAGATCTAGTTTTGAGTTACAGCCTGTCATAAGGTGATGTTGTGTTAAATGACAGTGGTGTAACGGCCTCCAGCAACGTAGTTAAGTAACTGCCTTCTCATGCCTTCCTCAGGTAGTGGAGCTACCTGCTTGACACACTGCGATGGATCAGACACAGAAGCTGAGGTGTCACTCATCATGAGTTCAGTAAAATCTCTCTCTAACACCACAGAATATGGCAGGTCAGCTCTCCTCTTTTATTTCTTGTGTACAGTTTTTCACGAGGGTAACTGCAGTGTGTAAGATGGAGAGTTCTCAATATGATCATATGGGGCTCAGACAGAGTGATTGTACAGGAAATCTCTCTTGATCAGGGGCCATATGTGAAATAAAAATTATTTCCTTGGTGATTATTTTGAGGGTATTTTTTAGCAGTGGCTTAAAGTATGGTTCTACTTTGAATAGTGTCTCTGTAAAAATGCTATCGTGAGGTTTCATGTTTACTGTTTCTCAGTGACTTTTATTTCAGATGTGCTTAATATTCCAAACAGATACTTTTGGTTTTGTGTTTTATTTTTCCTCCCAAGCTGTTGGTCTTGTAAACGTCTTTTGGGATCTAAGAATCCATCTGGGATTTGTCTAGCTCCTGCATTAAAAAAAGTGTGCCGGCCCCCCCCCCCCCCCCCCCCCAAAACAGAATCTGGTTAACAAGATTCTTCCTGGATGTGCAGGAATCTTTGCATCTGTACTTTGATAACAACAAAAACTCAATTAAATTGGATGAAGTGGCCTCTAAAAGCTCATGATTTGGGTCACCTAGTTTCAAAACACTGAACTATGGCCTGGTTGTGAGGGGGTACATGCTCGCTCTTGCTTTTTTTTCTTGTTTCTGAGACTTGCCCCCCAAAACTGATGTAGTCTCTAGTCATTCTTCTAGAAGTTTGGCCAAAAGGATCACAAACAGGACTGCCTTTACAGAGACACTTCTCAGAGAAGATCCTTGTGATCCAAGGTAGTTGTGAGGAAGCTACTGGAGCAAACTGCTTCACACTTAACTAACCCTTTGCTGGGAATTGAAAGATGATTACTAAGCTCAGGTCCAAACCTGAGATGCTGACCATCGATCGGCGGTACTGCTGGGTTAGACAGAATTGCGTGTGTATAATGCCTCTTAAAATTCTTAATTTGTGCTGTTTCCTGGCATATTCCTGAAGTGTTTGGGAAAGAATTACTGACCATAATTTGCAATATAATACAAATCAATGTGGTGCATGTGACTGTAACAAATTAAGCTTCTGGAATGATTGCTTTGCAGTTTGGGCTGGGGATTATTTTGTAAAGCTATTCACTTTGGGATGTCTTTTTAACTGCTGTTTCCTGTTATTCCATCTCTGTTAGGCTGGAAGTGCACCTAGTTGGAGGTTTCAATGATGATAGGCAGTTATCACAAAAACTTACTAATCAGCTTCTTAGTAAGTTGACATTTTTTCCACTCTCATGTCCAAAAAATAGTTCTGACTGGATTTGGGTAGAGTTTGATTGTAGTCTGAACCTCCTGTCACTTAATGGAAAGAAATCTGGATGCATTTTGGAGGGCGTTTTCTCCACCTGAGAACTTGGTCTGGAGAGGGGTTGGACTTCTGAGGCCGGGACTCAGAAGTCCAGGCTGAGGCTCTGGACTTCTGTGTGTGGGATGGAGGGTATTAATTTGGTAATTTGTTTGTGGCTTATATTTTAGAGTGCAGAATTGGAGTGCAGTCAGCTGAGCTTGATTCCTGGCTCTGCTGCTGAGATGCTGTGTGATTTTGGTCGAGTGTTTTGTTTGTCTTTATCTAAATCTATACATGTGGGTGACTGTTAATTACCATTCATTTCATCTCTTACTGTTTGTGATGGAATTGAATTACTCGTTGAAATTGTCTGATGAAAGATGTTATGTCTCTGAAATCTGTATTCTAGAGAAGTGATTGTGGAGCTTTATAAACAAATCGGGAATGTAGGGTATTAGCTTAGTATTAAACACTCTCCAAGTGCGGCGAGGCCTTGGCCGCCACTGGAATTGGGAAGGGGCAGGGGTACATATCAGTATTGGAGAGAGGCGGCAAAGGATGATAAACAAAGGTTGGTGGGGAAGGAAAAGGGAACCACCAGCAAAGGTCCTGAGCTGCACCCTTGTTGTCCTCTCATCTAGTGATTCCTGTTGTGTCTGTTGTATGTTGTGTGAGAGTCTTCCACAGGATAAAGTGTTTTGGTTAATAAGTTCTTTTTTCAACCTTCCAGCTTCCATGCACAAAGTTTAACATTTAAAAGAACAAGGTATTCCTATTAGAATTTTTTTTTAAGGAATTTTTTTCTCTGGTGTATGGGATGATGAGAAGGAGAATTAACCCCGTTTTCATTAAATGTATTTTTGCTCACTATGTATTTAACATTTTATGAAAATACATTTAAATAGGAGATGTTAGGTATGTAGTGAACTAATGAAGAGTTCACATCGTGCCAGAGCTACTTCAAACCGGCATCAAAAAAGAAGTAAGTGGAAGTGGCACAACACTGTATTTTTAGCATGTTTTTGCCATTACAAATGGCTTACTCTTTGTAAACCACCGTTAGGTGTAGTAGCTTCGGCTTTATTTTGTAAAAGTTAGTTTGAAACGCATCTGCAAAATACTCTTTGCTCTGTTGCCTGTTCTAGGAACAGTGCATTAGGTACTTTCTGCCCATCTATTCTGCAGTGCACAGCACTGATAATGCCCCCTCATCTATATACAGCACCTGCTTTGCCACCAGTCAGTTTTATACATTGCTGCTATCGTTGTTGCTGTAGGAGCATTTGATCTCCAACCAGATGATGTTCATTTAGTGACTTTCTGCGTCACAGGTAAGAAAACGTTTCCTTGGTTTTTGAAGTATCTTTAGCCATTGAAATCAAAGTGAAATGCCCTTTGCAGGCACAGCTTTAACTGTTCTGTAAGGAAGAGCAGTTATGATTCCTCTATAATGATTTGTCCATTTTAACTTCTTTCTGCTGGGAGTTTGTGTGTGGTGATGTCAAATAGGCAATGCAGTGGCAATGTGAGGATTCTCTCCTTACCAAGTGCTGCTGAAATTCAGTTGATAGTAGGACTACCTGTGATCGTTACCAGATTATTTCACCTCCTTTGTCCTACGGAAAGAGACTGTATGTCTATGAATATCTTCAGAGGGAACTGAGAAAGGAACCTACTGACTCTTGATGTTAGACCTGCCTCCCTGCAGTTTTGTATGAGTTTGTAGTATGTGAAGCTGCATAAAGGCAGAAATAACTTCCTTATATTGCCTTCAGGTCATGGTATTTGCACCGTCTTTGCACTTAAACACAGCTGGTAACTTGCATCTTTGAAACATGGCATCATAGAAGGTTTGCACTGTGTCCTCCTCCCCCCCCCCCCCCCCCCCCCCCCCAATTAAACTGCTTCCTCATAACGCATGACCAGAGTTGGCCCTAATGTTACTAGATGAAGAGTACTACTCCAAGTCCCAAGCGTATTGATTCTGGCCTGTCCCTTCTTTTTCCATATCTCATTTAGGAGATGGCTAATTTTGCTAAGTAATAGCACTTGTATAACCTCATTTTTTGAGGTAGATATATACTGAGAGAATAGGAGCTACTTCATACCTTTAGCATATGTCACTCTATTGAGATGGAACCATTACTTCTGTATCCGATTTAATTTTTGTCTTCATGACTTGCAGGCTCAAATTGAAAACTTAAAATGCTTTTCATTTTCAGCCTACAGAAGACTTTCCTCAGGTTCTTTTTTAACGCATCCTCATGTATGCTTATCTTTAATACATACAACAAAATGAATGCCTCTTGGAAAAAAAAATCCAAAATCGTATGGGTTTGTTTTGACGTGGTACTACTTTTTCTTTTCTTTCTTTTTTTTTTTTTAATTTCTTACAGAACTAAATGACAGAGAAGAAAAGGATACTCACTTTCCAATCATTTATGGAATAGGTGAGTTAAATCAAATTCAGTTTTGTGTTTTGTAATTAAGATTGCTTTTCGAATTCTGATAGTAAATGGGCTGCCTTTAATGATTAGTAAAGCAAGTCCTAAAAATTAAGGAGTGCATTTTGAGATGTATGTGGGAATAGACTAAAGTTTTTCTTTTGGTACCACAGACCCACACGCACGCATGCAAGTGTTTGTGTACAAATGCAAACAGATTGATTTTTTTTTTTTTTTTTCCCTATTTAACTGGCCTTATGATTTTGACCAATGTTGTTACTGCACTAACCTTTGGTTAGAATTCAACCTTCTTTTCACTGTTTATTTTTTTTCTGTTTCTTTTCTAATTACTTTTAGTATCCCTGAAAGTCTTCATCTGGAGTATTAGCATACTGTCAAAACAACACTGAAAAATAAGTAAAAATAGGCTAAGAGGTCTGGATCACTGAGAAATATAAGAATAGTATTTAATAGGTTCTAAAACTTACCATATTGCTTCTCCTTACCTGAAACATAGTAACGGTCGGGTCATGAGCTTTTTAAACAAGTGATGTGGAAGTCAATAGTGTCTGTATTTAAATTTTTCTTATTTTCTGTCAGCTGTGAATGTTAAAACAGCAGAGATTTTCCCTGCAACTTTCCCAGAGAAAGGGCCAGATGAGGATTTGCGTTCAGCCCACATCTTAACCGGAGCGGCAGTGAGTAAAAAACAAAACAAAAAAACCCGCCATATTTTTGGTGGAAGGGAAAACTAGTTAGGGGCAATGAACTGTCAAGTTTGAGGAAAAATACTTTAGTACTGTTCTGTCAGTAACAAAACAGATGAGAAACAGTGGAGTGGAAGCAAAGGATAGCGATGGAGATCAAAACACTTCTGAGCTTTCAACTGTGAAACTAACCCTTGCCTTAGAAGCGCAGAGCTCTCTCGCATGCTGTTACAACTTCAGTAGGATAACTTACTTACGTAAAGAGATTCAGGTCATGGGCATGATCTCAGCAATATCGTCTAATTCTAGGCTTCTCGTTGAGGAAGAAGTTTAATGATGTCTTGAATCCTATAAATTCAGTACTACTATTTTGTCAGAATAACTGGCTTATCCTAATGGAATGGGAATGAAGTCCAGTTGAGCTGGCACTGAGTAGGTCTAGGACAGAAGCTGCAGCTCAGGGCTTTCAGATCAAGTGGATTTGCTCTCTCCTATATAAAGAGTTGTCTAATGTTGATGTTCCCTGCAATCTGCTCTATGTCATTACAGCTGACTAACATTTATGATGCAAAGATGGAACAACTGCATATTGGACCTTATTTTTGGAGGCCTTTCCCACACGTAGACTTCTGGTTGGAACAAGATGATAAACAGATCTTACAGGTAAGTGAATCTGTTTTTTTTTTTAATTTTTCTTTATTGAGTACAAAGAGGGGTATGGTCTGTCAAAACTTTTCTTAGCGTACTCCTGGGGAGGGTGCAAAATAATCTTATTAAAAGGTAGGATAAGTGAGTGAGAACCTTGTATTCCGAATCTTAAACAGCTCTCACTCCTATCTTGTTTTTCAGAACCTTTCCACATCGCCACTGGCCGAGCCACCACACTTTGTTTCCCACATTAGAGCTACATTAACGTTTTTAAAAGAACACCCCTTTCCATCTCATTCCCTATTTCCTGATAGGAAACCTCGCATCTACAAAAAAAATGAAGAAGGGTTGTGGGAACAGGTTTGTTCTGACAAGATCTAACCTGGAGATAAACACCAGCTGTTTTAGGGAAGTGTAGCCTTGCCAGAAGAAAAGTAACTTGGTGGGAAGAAAAAAAAAATTTCTGGTAAAAATACAGCTTTTCAAAATAAAATATTTTGGCAGAAGCATTTGCCTCTTTCTGCACTACTTACCTGTCTGAATTACTACAACTGCATGAGGTGTCCCTGTTTTACTTTGGTGCTAGCAAGGTCTCCCCAGATCTTGAAATATTTTGAAATCTAGCCTGATAATTAACTTTTATTTGCTGTTTTTAACCATTTTCTCTTCCACAACTAGCTGTTGATATATAGTGATTTTTGGGATTAATTCAAGACAAATGTCTCTCAAAATCCAGAGGGTCAGCCTTAATGAATTATATTAAATCTACAGCTGTCCTGACCAGGCTATCTTCAGTTGGTATATCCAGGCACAGTAAGACACGGGACTGTATGTCACAGTTTTACTAAACAATAGAATTCTTAAATAGTAGGTAAGTTCTGAAAATAAACTTTTTGGAGGAAAAAAAAGTAGTAGTATATTTCCTTTTCATTGTTCTTAAGGTCTAGGGTCAGTCACACCAGTGCCAAGACATTCATGAGCTGTAAGTTGTTCTTTATGATTGCTTAGTAATTTGTCTAGCTTAACATAGTCTTATAATTAGTCCAGTTTTCAAAAAAAATCTGTTTTACATTGAACGGTTGTAAGAGATAGTAGACGTAAGTCTCTCTCTCCAACCCTGTGTTTTATATTTGTATTTGTCCATGCTGGTCAGTAGCATCACCTTGACTCTCAGTGAATCCCCAACTGCTACGTCATCCTCTCCGAGAAAATCACTGCCATTTATAAATGGTGTCTTCGTAGCAGGCATAGCTCAGTATTGTAACATGCCTTCATGGTGGCTGTTTGGTTGTGTTTCTGTTGCTCTAATACAATAATTGGCTTAGCATAGATCAAGAGAGGTAGCAGTGATGAGAAACTGAAGGTTGAAGTCGTTATGCTGATTTTTTTTTTCCCTTTCCTTTTAGAATTTTCCACACAAAGCAAAGAAAAAAAAGTTGCCTACACTTAACATTTACTGAGATTTAGTGAAACTTTCTTCAACAGTAATTTAATTCAAGAGTAGTAATTTGAAGAATCTTTATTGAAACATTCAGGTAGTATCTAAAGAATGAAGCTCATTCCAACAAAACTACTGGTTTAACAATTCCAAATATAAAAACATTAAAAATTAATCCTTATGGTGATAACTTTATCCCCAACAGATTACGCATATTAATATACTTCATTGCACCAAAAGAAACTGATAAGGAAGACCAGTCAACTTCATTGTTTTTGCACTTCTTCTTTATAAAAATTGCACTCTGATTAACATAAATTACCCCAATAGCAAAATTAAGCTTGCTTATACCTTCCCAGCCCCCCAGAATCTAGAAACTGAAAGTCAAGACAGGTGACAGTACAATTTAAAAAAAAAAAAAAAAATTTCAGATTAGCCAAGTAAGTCCTGCTATCATTACAGCTATTATGGTGTTGATTTACATATTTTGGAGGGATTAAAACAAAAAAAAACAACTGCACAACAACAACAGAGCAGGCTACAGGCCTGTTTTCGGTTCTGCAAGGGGTAGGACTTAGGATTTTTCCCAAAAATCAGATGCATTGGAGAAAGCAAGCTTTTCCTAAGATTTCCTTACCAGAAGGGACTATTGCGAGCTCTGAAAACTTGCAGCAAAGTGACCAAGAGGAAGATAATTAATTTAGTGAGGAAAAAAGACAGACTTTTACACGTTAGTTGTTTCTGATTTAGTCAAAGATTAGCTTGTATATTAAACAGTCCTAGAGATGATATGAACTTGTGCTGTAGTGTAAATAACCTATATAATTTTTTTTTTTAAATCTGTACAAGTCCTACCATAGGTAAGTTACTATTGTTCAAAAATAAGTGTTGAACCATCACAAATGTATTGTTTTTTTTCCCCAAGCTTTACTAACAAGTATCTTTAAAAATACACAACAGAAAAAAAAGTTCCAGTTACACTATATAACTGTGTTCAATACGATTTGGTTTATAAATGGCGTGCAAAGGAAAAATAATGGTGTACTGATGATTCCTTTCAATGGTAGAAGCAAGAAGCCATTTAGGCATGCAGAGGCACTATTTCTTTCTAAAAGGCTTACAACTCAGTAACTTAGTTCCCCACTGTATCTAGGACCCTAGCTGAATGGGTCAATTCATACAACAGAAAGGAGGGGGAAAAAAAAAAAAAGTTGATGGAAAAGTACTAGTCAGTGACTCATACACAGATAGCCATCCTTAATACTCAGTGCACCACAACTGTTTGGCGATATTCTTTATAAGGGGGGAAAAAAAAGATGCAAAATAGAGCTAGTATGACTAAGTTGATTTTTGCAGTAGAGGTCAAACTGAATTTTAAATATAAAAAAGGTGAATAATTGGCAGCTTTTTTTTTAAATATATTCACATAAAATAAGATCACTTTACAATTATTTGGTGCAACTGTATGCTTAACCTTATGTATGGCTGATCAATTTCTTAGCAACTATTATGCTTAGAATCATACAGGCGTTATGACTGCCACTTTTTTTTGACAAATGTTTACACGCAGTTAATAAATCTCACTACTACTTTGGTGATACTGACATATATAGGATTAAAGCAACTGTAACAAGTGTATAGTAAGACAAATCTCTGCCCTGTTGGGGGAAAATTTTATATTTGTGCAAAATCCCAGTTAACAAGTTACAGTAGTTGTTACTGTACTAGCGTGTGGCCCTGTTCACATTTTAAATGCATCATTAATACCCTGCCTCCCCCCAGGGCATGTCGTTTCTTTACAAAGTCTTAAAGCCAGAGTGTGGATTTTATCTTTGACTTTCTTGTTCCTCTACCTTAGTGCAGTCATTTAGTGATTTGTCACTTTGAATGGTGTCAGTTTCTTTGTTTGTTGCCTCTGCCACCTCCTTCTGCTGCTCTGTTCTTTCTGTCTCCAAAGGCCCTTGTTCTTGGCCAGGAGAGAGAGTAGGGGGTCTCTGATCCATCTTCTCCAGGTCATCACAGTGGCTGACTGAACTAGTCTCACTAAATGCATCAGAACTTCTTAAAGATCTTTTAAAAATTTTTTGACCTGTAAAAAGAATACATTTGAAGAACACCATTGAAGAATACAGTACTAGAGAAGGCAGCAACTATGAAGTGTAGTACAGACAAGTTAAAAATCTATTTCTTTGCAATTGTAAACATTCTTCAAAATTTATGTGGGTGCTAACTGGCACCCTACACATCAACGCTTGCTTACAATTACAGATAGATATGCAAGTCAGTAGCACCTACTATTTTATCCTGTGTAAAGAGATTCCGTTAAATTTCAGCTGAAAACACATTTTCTGCATGCACAGTGCAATCATTTTATGGTTTAAAAAAAAAAAGTCACAACACGATCACTGTCCCTCAGGAAAGATTTCTGTTGGGAAACTGATAATCCCAGGCAGAACCAGACAGAAAACAAGAAGTAAGTGGTAAGTTAAAATAATACGGCTTCCCTGCCAGTCAGATCTAAATTAATTACGAATATCACTACAAAGAAAATGCCATATATTTAATACCTTTTCACCCTTGAAACTGCGTATTCTAGTTCCAGATATTACAAAACATGGAAGACCATGCTCGTCTTCCTGTGCACATAACTGGGATTTGTACTGGGGCAGAATGTTGTAGCAATTTTTAAAAATAAAGCTAAGGAGCAGAAACTTACCCGGAAGTCTTTGCTTTGCACGGCTAGACGTAGGAGTTGGCGGTGGAGTAGCGCCTGTCCCTTGGGCTTTGGATACGTATGTAGACTCTGTGGATTCTAGAGAGCCTGTGGGGGGGAAAAAAATAGTGCACAAGTAGTAAATTGAATATAACACCAACCAGTAAGTTTTCTTTTCCTCTGTATTTAAAAGGTACGTAGTAATCTTATTTTTAATACTTCTGTATTTTTAATACATACTTCTGAAACTGCATGTGCCAGCTTTGAGCTAAAACTGCCACTCTAGGGCAGTAGGTTTCTGAGCACCCAGGGACAGGGGAATTCAGACTACAAAAAATGTGAAGTCTCCCCAGCACTCACTCCACAACACTGCTATAATTCAGTATTGCTCCTTCCCCTCCTCCACTGGAGACTTGTCACAGCCTCAGCTCCAAGCTCCACAGCTACTTTGAGTCTAGCTACAAGTGGAGTAAGAAATTCCCAAGGGAAACCTTGCTGTTTTCAGTCAAGGAATCAAAAATCCAAAAAGGAGGAAGATTCTAAATGCAACAGAAAGCCCTTTTTCCTGGCTTTTTTTTTTTTTTTTTTACAAACATACACACTTCTAGGTCTGACAGACATTTTTCTGAGTTCAGGAATGTTTTTAAGACTATGCCCCAATTTCTACAACAAAAATTTATGACTTCAGAGAGCATTAGGCTAGTAGATCACTAAGAACGAAGTGGGAGCTATAGGTGGATCTTTTCACATCAACGCCATCGTCAGCTACAGGGGGATCCAGACAGAATAAATATTTTACCATCTTTTACACTGTAAAACATTCCACTCATTACTGTCTCCCACAAAGCCATGTTCATACAAGGCCTCATTTAGTTTTAGCCCATGCTTTTTTTTGAGACACTTCATTATTTCAGCATGCAAACTAGCCCTTAATCAATATGGCAGTAGTGAGATATCTGGATTCAGGAATTCAGGCAGAGAAACAGCACAGCCAAACATCTGAGTGCCACTTTTGCAAGCACTCTCCAAGGGACACACATGCGCAAACATGGAAGCAATGTTCTAAGACTCGAAGGCTTCCTACCCTGCCAGCTTATATATTCAAAAATGTAGCAAAAATCCCAAAGAATATACACTTTTGCAGAGTATGTATCCAAAAGTCAAAAGATTCCTCTCTTAATAAACGGCAGTGTCTAATACGGCTTTTTTAATGTGACTCAGTATGCAAGAACAAAACATAGACTAGGCAAGTGAAGTTAGAAGATTTTCTCAGTGGGTGTTAGAGTGTGGTCGAGGGTCGGTGGGTGGGGCGGGGGGGGGGGGGGGGGGGGTTGGTATCAGCGCAAGCAAGTCTGTTGCAATTTTAGTATAAAACTGGAAACATTTGGAATGGCAGAGTAATATGGCTGCAGATGCACTTAGTCCTACCTGCTGTTAAATTAAACGTTCTTCCCTTTGGTGAGGCTTGGAAAGGAGAAAACCAGTTCAGCACAGAGCCTACTACAGGAATTTGTCGTAACAGGCCCTGCGGAGTACACAATTGAACACTGTCTGGTGAACAACCCCCACAAGTTATTACAAGTTACCTAAATAACTAATTTTTATAGCCTTACCTCTTCCAGAAGTCGTTCTTCATTTGCTTTCTGAAGCTGAAGTTGCGCTTCCTGTATCCCTTTTCTAACAACTTCAGTCATGTTTTCCAATAGCTTATTAAATAACAGAAATGATACATACATTATTTGGACTTGAAACTTCTTTTCAGTTCAGGTTTTGAAGATTTAAACACAGTAGCCAGATATTTTTCTAAATTAACTTTTTAAAAAATATACCTAGAGGACAGAATGTACTTTTTAACAGGGATGGCTCATATTTTTCTATTACTTGGAGAGGAGCCTGTAACCTAAATTCCTCAAAGGTCGACTTAGCACATAAACGTGCCTCAGATGCACTGAAACCGGCTGTGAAGAACTTCTAGCTTGATCCGGTACAGTCTGGTTTCTAGAAGTGCCGCGGACTGAACCAGCCTCACAGTCTTGTAAGCAAGTCTAAACATGTATGAGCCAGCCTAGCTGCAAGCTCAGCTCAGTTTTTCAAATTTAATATATGACTGCCAATCTGACCCTTGTGGCATAGAGAACATCAGCGACCTCAAATCCTGCAAAGAACAAGTAGCTCATTTGGAGGCTGTAGGGAGAATAAGTGGTGAAAAATAAGAGATCAAAAAACCAAGCCCATGATTTTGTCGCATACAAGACAAATGCCAGTACGTGTAATTTACAGGGGCTTTAACATCACGCAAGCCCTAGATAACAGGCACTTACTCCAAAAAGCAAAAAACGTGGACCACTGTCAGTTAATGAAAACAAGAGGGACAAAGGGGAAGCTGCTCCTTTTCTCTGCGGGCAAGGCAAGACAAGTCAGGAATTCTTGCAAGATAGGCAAGAAACTCCCGTTTCTCTAGAGGTTTGGTTGTTCTCTTCCAAATCTATCACTAACTTGGCAGAGAAGATCATCACAGCAAGCTGAACACCCCAGCTGTACTGGTTACAACGCAGGGGTGCAACAGAGCTGCAGTTAGCATACATGGAAGGACCACTGTGTTCTCCTCTTGCAGGAAGGATGCTTCTGTCCTAGATTTTCTGCCTTTTTAGTGTACTTATTAATATATCCTTAAGGACTTGCTGATTCTGGAGCAGTCTATCACTGATCTAAATGATGAAAGAATATCATTCTTACAGGTTAGTTCTGCTTCTCAATTTTTTTGGTCTGAGGTCCTCCACGACCTTTTTCCTCCCCAGAAGCTTCAGGATTTGAGACTGGCACATTTTCCAAAATTCAGCTCCTGATCTCTCAGCTACAACAGTTACAGAACTGAAGCTCCTCTACAACCAATCCATCTTTCATAATCTCACCCTCAAAACAACATAGGCAGTCAAGAGTGGGTAGAAAACAATCTCCAGAAAACACTGCCAGGAAAAAAAAAAAAAAAATCATTGCTGAAGCGAACATTCCCATGGGCAGAAATACACAAAGGATTTCTGAAGTTCAGTTTGTTACTTAGGTGAGGAAATTAAACGCCCAGCACTGGCGGTGTGAAAGGGCAGCTATTCGTTCCCGCTGCAGTGCTGCTCAACAGCAGGAGAAGTGCAGGTCATGTAAGAACTCTATTAGATATTAAAAAGTATAGATATTAAAGAACACACTCTAAATCACGGAAATGCCTGTACAAAAAAGGAGTTACATCAGCATTATTACTTTAATGATTAATTTGTACATCCAGTTTCTAAGCTACTGATTTAGAAATTTCTATGCGTTAGGGCACAGTCTTATCTTGCAGCTGATAGAAACAGTCTCAAACCCACTACGTTTAGCAGTGATGAGAAATAACATCAGATGATAATCAACACCCCTCCACACTTTTTTTTTGACAGCTTAAGCAATAGTATTAAAATGAGCCTATTTCAGTACTACTGAAGTTTGCCAATAGAATTACTGAAGACAGGAATGCGAACATAGATCAGGACGTCCTCAGAATATCATAATCCTATAACGAAAGCTCTCATTGTGTGGACACAGATTATTACTTCCACAGTAATTAACACTGTTCATTGTTGGCAAGGACAGTTTACAAAGAACAAAAGAGTGTCCTGAAGCCCCTATGAATAAAAAGGGATTTATTAATACACACTCGTGAATTTTCTTCAATTTCTCTGCCCGTTGCTGCAATAGTTTCAACTAACTCAGACACGTCCAAATCCTCAGTTACCATGCCGATATAAACACAGTTTTTCTCCCCTCCAAATTCCGGGCCTGTGAACATAAGAGAATTAAGTCTTTGTGAGGTAGAAAGTGCATTCTCACAATAGACACCACGTACGTGCGGGTGTGGGTGGGTGCGCATAGACGCAGAATCTCCCCCCCGCATCCCCTTCAGTAATCAAATGCACTATTGGCATATGTCTAAATTATGCAAACCATAAAAACTTGGTCCTGTGGGTCTTCACAGAGGAAAGAAAACCAACCACATCTAAACAAGAGCAGCAGTGGATATTTTATACAGGCAAGGAGTTATAGAATAAAAAGCAGTGTTAAAAAATGCTTGAAACATGACTTTTGGCATCTACCAATTACTTGGTTTTCACAATTCTAGGGCACTTGGACAACTTCTGAAAGCTGAATAGAAAGGATCAAAGTTGTGAGTAAGCAAAATTAACATTATTATTTTTTTTTTTTTTTACAGCTATCCTGTGGCGTTATACACCAGTGAAAGCGCTGCTATCTATCTATCACAGTCTATCACGCAAAGACTATCACAAAAATCACCCAAAGCTTTTAATCTAGCCACAGAACGCAGCGAACTGGCCAGCAGCTTTTCAATGAGATCTGCTAACTTAGACTCTTGGACACTAACTTAGACCCCTTTCCTGCGGGATGCATATTTTAACATGTTCAGTGCGTTTTAGGTGTGTTCCAGGCAGCACAGCATCGAGACTCACTCTTCATTAGCACTCAGCACCAAAAAGCGCTTTGGCTTTCCTTTTAGATATATGGAGATACTTCCTCTTCCTTTACAAGGGGGAGCACTGAAGCTTTTCTGCTTTCTGACAAGGGAACCCCTTTTGGATTCAGCTTCCACAAATATTTCTGAGACTACTGCACCTAGCTCATGCTGCTGAGCGCAGCTCCTGCTTTACATCACATTTCCCAACTGAAATATTGGCCAAGAGGAGACAGAGTTAGAGATGTTGTTTCTAGAGTAACTATACAGCAGTGTAACTTTACATTATATTACAACAACCTGTATACAAATAACCTGTTGTAAGATAACAAAGCTAGTAAGATGACTCTTAGCTTGAATATACTTTTAATAAAATTGTGTAGTTACCCAAAGAAAAAGACAGATCCGACTCCAGTTCATTCAGTTTTTTCAGTAGTTCTGTGTTAATTTTTTCTAATTCTTTTTCTTGTTTGTCATCGTTCTTCCCATCACTGTGATAGCTGTATCTTCAAGAGCCAGAAGATAGTAATTTCACTTTACAGAACATATGAAAACATATAAGCAGATCTGCACACCTAGCATGTTTCTACAAACTAACGTATTCTATGAAATCAAAAATTGAGAGCAACATGACAGCTTATATTATCAGCATTTCTAAGCAGAGACTGGGGGTGTGTGTTGGGGGGGTGGGATGTCCTGCTGCAAGTTTGACTGAATACAATGGATTTTTAGCTAATATATTGATTATACCCCAACTGTTTTGAATATAGAGAAGCCTTCCCAACAGGCTATATCAAACGATCAGAATAGAAACTTGACTTTTTTGGCAAATGAATGAATCCCATTGAAGATAAAAAGGCAGGCTACGTTTGCCTAAATACAGTAGGATGCACCTGCATGTTACAATACCATTTAACAGGTCCACGGGCCGCTTCCAGTATTAGAATTGTTGCCTTAATTTTGCAAAAGCAGCTCTTCAGCTATTTATATTGTTTACTCTTTTTTTTTTTTTTTTTTTTTTTTAAGGAAAGAAAACAGTTTCTCAAAAGCACTCAAAAGCTTCAACTGGGTGCAAAGAGAGATACTAACCAGCAAACAACCCATCAAAATCATTACTCGAGGGACCATGTATTTCTTTCTGCTAATGCACTTTACCTTACAACACCTAATCCTGGCCAGCTGAGATCTTCAATATACAACAGACCTACTGTTCTTTTCACTTCTTGCTCAAATTCCTCTCTCAGTTGCAGTGTACTTGTCAATACCGGTATCTTCATTTTTAAGCAGTCTACTAACTGATCAACATCTTGTATTTCAGTTCCTAAAACTGAAGAGCTGACGTGTTAGTATGTGATAGATGTGAATGGACATACCGATTATTTGTATTTAATTCACACAACTCTTTGTAAAGAAGCCACTTTACAGGCCAATCCTAATATAATTTACAAGTAGTTTTGAATTATCTTGATCTACATAAGAGTCTTTCCTTCAGTAAGCTATCCAAGGATACGTCAAAATGGTTACAGATTCCTGAAAAATAAGCTAATAAAGAGGAAGAATTTTCTCATGTTACAAACTAATAAAGACTACTCCCTTTTTTGATATGTCAACACCTGGCATCAGAAAAATCTCTCATCCCATAGCCAAACAGATAATGAATTAGGCCCTATTCTGTCCAAGAACTGACAGCATCATGAAGTAATATTGCTCTAAAATTTAATTTTCTATATACGCCACCATCTTCTCACATCAGCATCAAGGTATTTTGACAGCCTAAGCTATTCACCGCACCCAAGTTATCGCAGTTAAAAGGAGGCATCATGCATTAGCTGAGCCCCAGCAAGCTCCTCTCTGCATATGCTAAATCTACACAAAGTATGTATTTGGTGCTAGCTTAAACATCAAGTTTAAGACACTTTCCAGAAAACAGATTTTCTTCCCCCCTACATCAGTAGTTACAGAAACCCCCCAGAGCTTTAGTAAATAATTCTAGTTAATTAATTACTTATACTTGAACACAAGCTCCATTCCAGTGTCCGAACACCTGTGTAAGAGAGGTCATGCATCTTCTCCTTGGGTTAAGCAGCTGAGAGGAGGAAGGGTAAGGATGATTCATCCCTGATATTTCTTTTTATAACTGTCAAAACAAAGAGCTTCTCCCCTTGCTTTTCCTAATGAATTTAAAAATAATCAGTAAAAGTCTGACTCTGCAGATGTAGCGCGGCAGCGTCACGCAGAACTGCTGAGCTACCTCTAAGGCAACTGCTGCCAAGGCATGGCAGAATGCTGAAATTAAGACAAGTTTATTTAAAACAATTTACACTTAAGATAAGAAAAATCCTCACCATGGGAGTAAAGAGCTTCTTGAGAATATCTACTTTTATATCAGGAGATTGCGGTACATTTTTTATAACAAATCCAATTTTTTACAAGTGGCTGAATTAAGTGAACATTACCTGCAGAAGTCATTAACGGGCTGAAACGCACACACGTGCCTTCGTCTTCCAGTTCTACCACATCGACTCCGCTGGCAGGAACCAGCTGTGCCAGCTGCTCTCCTAGCTGAAGGGAATGACACAGTTAAAGAAACGTTTAGAGCACAGACCTCCGGCAGTCACTGATTAAGGTTAGACCGTTCCCACAGTTTAAATGAACCACATGCTAAGCAGTTTTCTCTGTATTTCTCAAAATTCTAGAGTTATTTCTTGCAGCAAAAGTATGCTAGCTTGCTGGTGATAAAACGAATTTGGACATACACGTGAAGCGCTCACAATTTTAGTAAGCTATGAGTGTTACAAGTCAGAAGTTTCTTCAACGCTGTCATCACACAAAGTATGCCATGATTACTACGCAATTAATCCCAAACAGTTATGCGCTCAGTTCTCTGAAAGAGCGCCTCTCTAAAATTGATTGTATTATGATCTGGAAAAGAAAGGCTCTTCATGAATACACAGACATAGTCAATGAGATATCTAGCTGAATAAAAAAAAAAGTTCCAGAGTCTCCAAATACACCCGCAAGCCTCTTCCAACCCCAAATTTCTACTATCAAAAGTTTTAAGATTCAATAATAATTCCAGTAATAATTAATTTTTATTTGTAAAATAATCACAAGTGTGAAAACATCTGGGCTTCAGAGCAAATTTGTCTTTTTATCCAAAATGCCCCCTAGTCTTTGCAAAGGATAACAAATCAGAAATAACTATCAAGCTAGTTTACTGAAAGGGTTGTAATTACCGATGAATCCCCAGAAACATTCAACACTCTCACTTCTTTTTTCCTAAAGAGAAAAACATCCGTTCTTACCCACTGATTCAAAGTGTCATAAACGTGTCTTTCATTGCTTATTATGGGGTGCTGAATAGTTGAAGCCTGTGTAGCATGTGAGGTTTGATCTGAATTCAAAGACACAAGAATCACAGAAGTGGATTTTTATTTAATTAAGTAAACAAAAGGCAACCTAAAATTTAGATAAAAGACAATTAAATTTCCTAATGTAAGACATCTGAACTATGTATTGGACCTCAAGAAAAATAAAGTGGGATTTTTTTTTTAAAGGTATGGTGGACATAACAGATATTAGGAGTAAAAGAGTTAGATACATTAATTTTAAAAACAACTAATAAAATACTTCTCAAAATTTTGAGGTTCAAATACCCCCACAGAAACAGAAAACAGTGTTTTCACAAAAGAAGCATTCTGTAACAGCAGGCTGCAATATTTAATTTGATGTGTCAAGCCACCTTTTTATTAAGTTTTAATTATAGGTTTCTTTTTGAAACTAAAAAAAATTAATTCAGGATTATAAAGCTATTATATATACACTTTAAGGGTTACTTAAGGGGTAGGGCATAACTAATTTAATTTATTATATAATTTATTATATAATAAATAATTTAAGGATTTATAAGCCCATTACATACACAAAACATGTGGCAACGGTCAAACATTTTACATGCTTTTAATTCAGGAGGGTGATTTTTTTCCTTGGTAAAGTCTTATCAATAAATGCATCAATGTATAGAGCAGTTCAAATTATTTCACTGGACCCAGATGAGTAAACTTGCCTTTTAAGTGTAACCACTACTTAGACTAGCAACAAAACAACCCTTCCACACTCCCAACACAAAAAATCCAAAGACAATCAAAATCAACACTCATAATATGAAGCTTTAGAATTTTCTTAGCAGTCCTTTGCCTCATCCCAGCTGGCTATTTCCCCACGGTCAGAGTGGGGACATACAAACAGCACGACATCTCTGGCATAACTGATGGGACAAAGTCACCTTCCTGGGCCAGCACATCCAGGCAGGGATGTTCTACTCACAGAGCTACATGTGCTGCTGTACCCAGGACAGGTTTTACAGGGCCATTGCTAATGTGCTCTCCTGTTCTTAAAACCATTGCAACATTATGCAATGAAAAACAGAAATATGCAGTTCTTGCACCTAGCCACTAAAATATTAAGAGAAACAGAAAGCCTGAACAAAACTAAGGAAAAAAGTCTTCCCTCATCAGTGTACTCAAACACAGCTTGCTGCGTATGGGAGTCTTTCATCATCCTCTCCCAAGATCAAAATCATATGCAAATCTCTCCACTCAAGGAGGTGGAAAATTACTTGCTATGAAAATCGAAAACACTGCCGCTTATCTAAAAAAAGAAGTTACCATATATATGAGTTCTATCACTAGATTAGAACTTGTATTTACAACCTTTTTTAAAGGCATGTTGCACAAGAAACACGTACTACATAACACTTACCTAATCAAACTAATTTTGGAAATTAGTAGTTTCAAAAGCAAGCAGAGGCTTTCTTCTTCCCCCCTTTTCATAAATTACATACCTCTGTTCGAATGTTCCTGGAAGAACTTGAATACAACCACTGGAGAGCTCAGTTCATCTTCAACCTAAAAAAAAAAAAAAAAAAAAGTAGTGTGTGAAAACACATATTTGCACACTGCACATACTCTCCTAAGATTGCTGAGCAAAAGCACATCATTTTGTTTTGACAGCAATAACAATGTTCACACTATCTCAGTATTAGAAGTTAACTCATTAGGAGGGGGACTGTAAACACAGGAAAGTAAATCAGTACTCGGAGCAGAATTGCACTGATTTAAGCTATACGTAACTAAAGCTTGGGTTACGATGAATGTGCTTATGTTTCTCACTTCATAAACATACGGTAGTGAAGAAAGTGTATTTAGCTTTAATTTTTTTCAGAAATTAACATTTAAAGAAAATTCTCCCAGAGATTGCTCCAGAACCACTGGAGAATAGCAAGAAAGTTCTAACAGGACTAACAAAATCGTAATTGATTCTGCTTTGGGGAGAGGCAGGAGAAATGGACTGGGCAACTCCTGGAGGCAACTTTTGCCAGGTTTCACAATCCTACAAGCACAAGATTTATTCATCTAGGTAGAAGGCAGAAGTGCTACAGCAATTCAAAGTCCCACAGCCTCAAATGATCTTCAAAAAAGAGTTTTTGCAAAAAAAGATTACTGTCACTCAGAGCGATCCACGGAATATTTACTGATGCACAAAACTAAGCTGAATATTTACAAAACATCAAGCACCAGTTAAAACAAGAAAAACCTCGCTGAACAGGACATCTCACAGAAAATTAATTAGAAATGAACATGCAATTTCTAAAACACTATTTCCGCTGTAAAAATCTGAGCTGGGTTAAGTATTTTGTGTACGGATTTCATTGGGTTCACAATATCATCTCCAAAGCAGGGTAAGAGGCAGTCAGAATACATTAGAGAGATTTATGGAAACTAGTTTCATTAACATATTACTGTACAAAGCAGTGTATTAAACTAGACCAACCTCTGGAAACACTTTCTGCCTGTTTTTCTGTCAGCTTGACTGAGTGACAAGAGCATGCAGCAGTGGAACACGTGCAACGTAGCGGCCAGCTGCTGTTGCACTCAACCAAGCTGCACAATTCCATTGAACGCTTCTATTTCTTTCGTTAAGAAGATACCAAGCACCTTCAAAACAACGGCTACGTTTTAGATAATTTTTTTTTATAATTTCTTATGAACCAATGTTATTCTTATCATTTAATAGCCAAGACTAAGCTGTACAATCAAGGTATTAAATGTAAACTGTACCGAAGTTTTAATGAAATCCAGGTTTTTCAAGTTTTCCAGCAACCTTTGGCTCTAAAAAGGGGGGTGGGGGGGAAAGAGATAAAATACATAGTTTTAGAAGTTGAAAATTATTCTTATAAACATTATATAATCACCACTATCATTTCAATATGTTAACAATTCCCTATGAAATGTCAGTGATTCACCCAGTTCTTATTTATAAATTCAGAATATAATGGAAAAATATTTAATATTTTTAGTGGCTGGCTACAAAGTGCTTTTTGTTAAAATAAAAATCTCAGTTAATTGACTTATAACATCTGCGAAACTTTACCAACTAAGTACAGCACAGTGCGTAGCAGAACCAATAGTTAGTTTTTTCCAGAGCTACCATAGCAACTGGTTATGATAGCTTTCTAAATTATTGTCATTAGAAAATACATTCTTACAAAGCGGTCTAAGACTATTAATAGACTATAATAAAAGCAAAGATCATTCTTAGATGCCACGAAATCTTAATGACTAATGACGTTTCGTCACATTTTTAGGTCTTTCACGCCAACAGCTTCTTCACTAGTCACTGGAGAAACTTTCTGTTTCCCACAAAACAGCCTCTTTGTCGTTCTTCTAATCTTGAAGAAGTGCTGCACATTTAAGACAAAAAACGCTTTGGCGATAACCAGTGCTTTTTTTAACTAGCATATTACACCGGACCTCAACTTTTAACGAATAAGGATTCGACTTCAAAAACAGCACACCTCTGACTATATTTGAAGAACTGCTTTGAAATCCCTTGTCAGGTGTTTATAGTTAATACTCCTTAACAGTAAAATGCCTAGCAGAGTAGGAAAATAAAAAAGCATTCCTCTGAATAGCTTTCAACTAAAATAGTTAATAAGAGGAGTGACGAGGGTGGGGGGGAAGCAAGCTTACAGTTTTGAAAGGACAAAGGTTAAGTATTTCTGATGAAAAAGTAATAAAATATACAATTTAAGAGTTAAAGCACATCCTTCCCTCAAATGTTACTACTCTTTCATAATTTGTTCATAACACAATATGAACTAATATGCTAAGTCATCAACGATTTCATTATTTCCAGGTGAGTCTTCTGCAATACAGCACAATAATTAACGAAATACATTAACAGCTATTATAAAAACGTTCCTAAATACAACTGTGTTCTGTGATAGCCATCTGGATATCACTTGTACTGTCATTGCTACCTAAACTTTGTTGCTACTTGGATATTCCAGCTATTAAATCAGACGACGAAGAGAGTCTTAAGAATACCGCTCGATCCATAATCACAGAAACAAAGTATGGGTAAACAACGTGCCAACAAGCTGCTGCTTACCAGTTGTGAGGCATGCTTTATCCTCTCCACAATCCCATCGTGGCCTAGGTACTGCAAGGAGAGCCACAGTGGCAGGGCACGAAGCTTCTCTACAGGCTGACTTGACGTCAGCCCAGCTGCTAAGGACTAAAAAAGGAAAATAAACAAAAGAATCATGATTAGCTTTTTTCCCCCAATTATCATCCATTCATTCCAATTTTTACCCATTACAGAATGCATCACAATTTAAATAGGGGATTTTTTGCACAGTATTATTTAGATGCTTTGGAAGAACAAAACACTACACCATGGTCGCAACTGCAGTTGCGAGACCTTGACAATAATGACAGAGAAGTAAAACGTACCAAAGAAGGATCCTCATGCCTGTAGAGTGTCACAGCAGGTACAGCTGGGAGACCCAGCCAGGAGCCCAGAGTAAGAGTCATGCTGTCACATTTTGTAGCAGCCTTAAGTTTATTACAAAACAGAATATAAACCATATATATCTTGATTAGATCATGACCTTAAAATCTGGAGCACATCATAAGGTTTCTAGATATAGTAAAACATACCAGTACAGAAGAGGAGACATAACCCAAAGCCAAAGTTGCCAAATTCACGCTAGAAAAATAAAGAGATTTCAACACTTATTAAATATTTATCAGGAGAGAGCACTTTAACTTTCAGTTTAAATATTTCATGCTGTTGGGTAAAGGGAGGTCATTTTTATTCATATATTTTGTATTACCTACGCAGTAGATGGCTCTGTTTAATATTCTGAGATTGAAAATTCAAAACTAAAAATTAATTTCAACCTAAAAATTTATCAGTCCAACCTTTGGGGAATTCATCTCTCCAAATCCTACCCATAGGTCAGTACCAGTTTTGTACCAGAAATATACAGCACGCAAATATAACACCATGCAATGAAACATCAAGAGAGACAGACTCTACTCCAGCTTCAAAAAAATCTAAGAGCACAGGCGTCCTTATTAACATTGTCTAAGTGGTTCCAATTCCTTTTCCTTTAGGTTTACTCCTCCTTCCAGTTATTTTGCCCACTGCACTTGTAGCAGTCTTCCTGACAAACTTCATTAAAGTGTCATCTCTTCCCATTCCATCCTCCTTTCTCCTTAACAATCACCATCCTGAATTGTCCTGTAAAGTCTTCTTTGATTCATATTCCAAGCTCTTCAAAGCAAGGGCAGATAAAACTACTACCTGAGTAAAAGTAACCTACACTGAAATAACCACTTCAAGTAGTTACTCCTGTATATGTAAAACAATTTGTATCTTGTACGGTGACAAATTTAACAACGCTCTACTAGCTTGTTAGCTGTAAAGTTGTGCGCTATCCGTTAGTCAGACTTTATGAATATAGTTATATAAAAATAAATCTCAAGTTTCATACCCTTCTACATGGAGCCACATATTGTACTGCTCACAAAGTTCCTTCAGTCGCCCAAGCTTATCTGTGTGCCCTGCTCCTGGGGTCCCTTTGTTGAAAAGGAAAAAAGTCAGTCCGGAAGGATAAGAATGCAAACCAGGACTTTACACGAGAAGAGGATTTCTCATACTGTTGTTGAGAAAAAGTTGCACACAGGAGTAGGAAGGGGGATATTTAAAGAGCCCACTACATCTTGCTCACTGTGGACATATGAACAATTAAAACTCCAGATAAAATTAAAAGATGCCACGTTTTGTTTGACAATATAAGTTTAAAATACTTAGAAAATTAAATGTCCTAGGCATTCAAAAATTCAGCAGCCTCAGTTAAGAACTGAAGAGGCTTTTAATACATTCGTTTAAAGTATGACTTCAACTAAAGAAACGGAAACCAAGGTTGTTATCATAGATATTTCAGCAAATCCAAAGCAAGTAACAGTCACGTCATTCATAGTTAAAACAATGTTATTCATGAGCAGTTTTGCTTAATTATCTAGAGGAAAAAATACAGTTTTTAAAGCTAAAATTGATGGCACGCAATAAAAATTCCAAGTGTTAATGTGAAACTAATTTTTAACAGGAGACTTGCACTCATTTAAAAACAAACACCCCTTCCCCAAACCCCATGTTTTAGTCATATTAATACATCAACTGACAAACAGATCTGTAACAGTTTAATCCGGTTTTGAATCAGTTATGTTAACATCCCTCTGGACAGCTAATTACTGCGTGGTCACTAAGATACTCCTTGACACAAAACCACTAAGCCGTGTAAGAAAAATATATTTTTATTTTGGGTTTATGCATTCATTAAACGGTGTGCTTTTTTGCTATTGTTTGTTCACAGCACATACCAGCATTGGCCACAAGCAACAAAGGCAGTTTTCCGGATTCAGCATCATCTTTAATCAATCTGTCCAATAAAGCAACATCCTGTTATCAATAAGAAAAAAATATATGTATTTATAAATGCATGTGTCAAACAAAACAGAAGTATTTCTGTTGAACTGGAAAAACATATCAAGAATAGAAAAGGAGGGCATCCTTAACTTTTTAAATCCAATCCCCTGATTAAATTCTTAACATCTTTCTGTTTATGACTTGTAGTTTCTTTTTCCCAAAAACGTCAGATAAAACATTTGTGAGAAATGCAACAAAAACATCATGTACTTTGTAAACACACCCCCTACTATACATATTCTAAACAAGCTCTTGGACTAAAAAGCACTTTATGCAAGACCAAGATTGAAGCTGCTGGCATTTAAGAAGATCTCAACCTAAGATTTGTACAGTTACAACATGGAAAACTCAGAGGTTGAAAACGTGAACACTTTAATAATTCTTGCCTAACAACGTTCTTGACGTTCACTTGATGTTTCACAAAATGTAAGAGGTCTTCAGGAAGGCAAATAAACTTACCATTTGATGTTGAGATCCAAACATAGTGTTACAAGGCACACGGCACATGCAAGAAAGGGGTAACCCTAGCTGCAATAAAAATGATGGAATTTGAACAACTGAGCCATGCTTTAGGATACTCATTGCAAATATTCACAGAAATAAACAGATTAAGCAACAAAACTCAGAAAATAGAAAGCACAGTAATAAAAAGCTGGATATTACATTTTAAAGCAAGTTTCCTGCTAAAATTTATGATCAAATTATTAACGAAGAGAAGAACACAGAAAGATTGGAAAAACAATAGTCAACTGCTGCTTAGCACAGGAAGTGCATACAGTATTTCTAGTAAGAAACCTGTTTAACAGCCCAAATTCATGCCTACTTTCTCAGCCACGCTTCAGTTAACACATGCTATTAACAAATATGTCTTTTTGCCAAATATGTCAGGCTCCACTGGAGGTTCACAGTCACCTTACTACTGACTAGATAGCTGTCTGCCTACTTCAAGCACACTGCTCAGATGGCTGTTCATGCTAGCAGGTCTGAGGTTCTTCCTTTGCTTTGGATGCAAATGCCAGGTAACTCTTTATTAAAATGAAAGGGGGAAAAAGGAAAAAAAACAAAACAAATTCTTTCCTACATTTTAATCTTTAATCTGGAAGATCACTAGAAAACTGAAGTCTGGTTGATCATACTCCTCACTTCAAACAGAGGGTTCAGTAAACTAAGGCAGCTCTAGTCATAGATCAAGCTGTGTTTATCCTTTCATTTAACAGAAGCTGAATCAGTATCCGAATACTCTGATCCGGTCATCTCCTCTACAATATACACATAACTTCTCAAAATCTAAGCTAAAACAGCATCACTTCTAAGTTCAGTGATTACCTGACAAAGGATAGGCTACCTTATAAAGAAAAGGTAAGGCACTACCACTATTAGTAGTTAACTGCTCTACACCCAAAACACTGATTCTTGATAGTATTTGTTCTATTAAGAAATTTCAATTAAAAACCACATGCAGAACAGCTTACAAAACTTTGTACAATTAAATTTCACTACCTTTTTCCTCAAGCCTTTTTTTTGACCAAAACAAGTTCCATAATCTGTGGTACCATTTTCATTCCTCCGCAGCCCCGTTTTAAAAAGTAATGCCACCTCTACGTCCTTAACAGAAATATGCTGAAATAGCAGTGATTACTGGAAGCGTATTGAAATTCTCTCCTCTCACTGTTTCTCAGTCTTCTAGCGTTCGTCACCTGAACAATCAACGCCACTATGAACAGTTAGGATCGCAAGAGGAGCGAGGGAGAGTACAGCCGTCCGCTCACCAACGCTCCTCCTCTGTCCACTAGGGCATCCTTATTTATCCGATTTTCTTCCCATGTACTACCCAAGGGACGTTTCCAGTGCCCTTGGCCACCTTCTTCCTTCATTTATTAATTAAAACAAACAAACAAACAAAAACTTTTACCAAAAGCATAGGCCCGATTTCAAGAAGCTACTTTTTCCTCCGAGAAGCCTATCTAATAAGAAACCTTTGCCAGGAAAGCAAAGTAACGTAACATTAATCTTCAAAATCATTTTTAATCTCCATTACTTGTACCTCCACACTCCTCCAAGGACTTGAAGAATGACGGCGCTAAGAACTTGAGCCTTCACTTCAGGCCATGGTAAGTTTAAATATGCCAGCAGCCCACTGAATGTTAGGTATACAACAGGAAAGTGCCTCAGTACACGGCCTCAATGAACTTATTGAGCTCTGTAAGCATTCAGGTAGGTAAATGCTTGCAAACATTAAAAGTTTTAAACATAATTAGGAGAAAACAGCTTTCTTTAAACCAAATTTTTTTTGTTTTGTTTTGGTAATCTTACGAGTACAGTTTATTTCTCCTTAGATCATTTGCCTGTCAAAAATGATCATGCTTTGTCAGTAAGAGTTAAGAGGGACCATTCAAAACAATTTTTGCAATAACTCAGTGTTTGCAAATCTTCCACTCTGGAAAAAGTGCAATGAAATCTAGACACAATTGCCAAATCCACCCTACCCCCTCAAAAAAGAAAAAGGCTAGCAGCTAGTATATGCGCCCATTGCCCTGGAAATGCTCAGAAAATTTCCTTCCCTCCCACCTTACCATTGCTGCAAAATACAGACTGTATATGCAGCCTGAAAGTATTTTTTCCAGATAAGTGTTTTTAATTAAAATGTATGGTCTACTACAGCTACCTGGGTTACTCTCAGTTTGGACTTTAACTGTCTACACTTTGTAATTGTGTTGGGAATGCCAATTAACAAAGCAATACCAATACTGTTTAATATTTTAGCATTACTATCTCGCACATATTTGGCTTGTGTCAAAGCATGGTTTTTCCACCTAAACCAATCTCGGACTTTTACCCCTTCATTGCATTGCTGTTGTTCACATTGCTATTGTTTCTACCCTGAAGAAAAATAAGTACATTTTCAAAATCGCCATGGCAGTTCTGCTTTTCTTAAAATCAAAATAGTACTTTTTTGAGGCCCAGGCTCAGTCTGCATTCTTCACGTTGTCATGCTCTTTATCATAGTGTCTTTCAACAAGGCAGACACATCATCCTCACTCTTAGAAAACATAAATAATAGTGTAAGCTATAAAAATCTATTATGTCCACAGAAAGACAAGGAAGAGAAGAGAATGAAGGGAATCTGCTCAGGAGGAACACTGCCCAGACAACGAGCAAACGTGCGGATGGAACAGGAGTGCTGCAGAGACACCTTGCCTGGGGATACCTGCCTTCAGCTGGCTTAGCAGCACTGGCAAAAAACTGGAAGAAGCTCCACTTCTAACAGATGACCTTCCAAGCAGACACATGGGTGTAAACAAAAACCACCACCGGTCCTAGCCAATTAACAATCAATTAAGAGAGCTGCTAGTATAAAATACCAGTCTCTTCCAGGGAAAGCCTGAATAGATTTTTAAAATCTAAACTTCCAATAGGCAGTATGTAGCCAGACAGGTTCTACTTGCAGCTGAAACCTCAACTAATTCACTTTACCTGATTGCAGAGAGCTTGGCCCAATCCCATTCTAGCTGCAGAACTAATGTATATAACAGGCTGCTTAGTATATAGCACATTAAATCCTTCTACTGTATAATCTTCATAGCGCGTGTGAATAACAAGTCGACAGATTTTTAAGAGACCTTCACGATCATCTTCATGATAATAAGCTGACCCATTTTCATACCTGCAAGAAAAACTGAGTAAATATTGACCAACAAAAACAATATACAGTTTATTTTTTAAAATATCACTGACCATTTAAGGAGATCACAAGAGGGCAAAAGAAGAAGATTAAAAAAAAATAAAAGATTTTTATTTACCCAGAATAAAGTAGAATAAAAGGAAACTTTGTTGAGACAGGCTGAGATTAACAATGAGGGAAGCCTAGTATATATTTTCATTTCAACTCAGAGATACAGTAAGAAAGAGAACATCTGTGGCCTTAAAAATTTCTTCAAAGGAGTTCAAAGCCTTTGTTTAGTAAGAGCAGGAAAAAATAATTAAAAAGACAAACTCAGTGTTTCATCTGGGTTTCATATATGTTAATTCTGGTTTACTAATTTTAAAGGAGAATGCAACATGGCATTCCTCAATTTCTAAGTTAGGAAAAACGGAATGAGAGAGAAAATATGACAGACGTGGGCAGAAACTTGCAAACTTTGTTGTGAAATCACAAATAAAGATACCTCATAACACCCAAAATTCCCAATGTCACTTCTACTTTAGGGAGTTTGAAAATAAGATTACAATTTAGTAAAATTTATTCAATATGCTGCAAAGCAGTTCTCCAGAAATATTTATATAACTCATGTGTTTTAAAAAACTATCGTTTTCCCCAGAAATACTCTTCCCAGAAATACTTTTACTGATTTTATGCTATTTTGCCTTCAAATTGATTTATTAAGCACACTGCTTGGGGTGTTTTGGGAATTGTTCCCCCCCCCCCCCCCTTTTTTTTTTTTTAATCCTCTAAACATCAAACTCAGATCAGCACATTAACATTTACAATCAAGAAACAGGAACGATGTAACCAAAGAAGAGAAAAGGAACAATTGTTCTGTATAGGTGGCAATCTGTCAACTGTGATAACTGCAGAAAAGGAAACGGCAACAGCGAAGCTAGTAGATATGCCGATTTATTAAGTGACTTGCAAGCTAGACTTTTCTTTTAGCATTTGTGTGCAACATGTAAACAATAGTCTTGCACAATTTAAGAGTGGAGTCTAGCAACAAATTTAGATAAAGGCCCTGAAGCATATTAGATTATCACTGACTATCCAATGCACAAATACTGCTCAGTATTCCAGGGTTAACTCCAGAATGATGCATGTGCAAACATTTACTTCACCTTTATACAACAGTTGTGTGATCTAACATGGTCACCAGGAAATCTCTCTAGCATAGCTCACAGGCACAGAAAATGTCAAGGAGGAGAAGTGGCCCGCAGCATGGTCCTTGTTCAGTACCGTCTACGGGCCACAAAAATTGGGGGACCACAGTCTGATAGGTATTCATTGTTAATCGAAAAAAATCACAGCACTATTGGATATTAGATTCAAAACAGAAATATCTCCTTTTATTAGCCACACCACTTGGAACTACCATGTACACGCTCTCTGTATTTGTGTACATCCATCAAAACAGCTGGATTATCTGCAACTTCTCGCAGATTTCATAGTCACACAGTTTCAAAATATCTAAGTCAAAGATAGATAGAGATAATCACTGAATTTACAAAATATATGACAATGAGCTTGTCAATGTAAAAAGCATCCTTTATTATCCGTAATCCTAACAATTACATTTGGGTTAAGTTTAGTTATCTTTTTTTTACTGTTTCATCTTACCTTGTGCTTAAAAACATCCCCCCCTCCCCACCCCAAACAAATAAAACCACCAAGACAAAACCAAAACTCTGACCCTCAGTAGCACTGGCAAGATTTTTTGAAAGATATGGCACCGTGAGAGGGGGAAAAAGCATTTTTGCTTTGGGAATAAAAAGGAAATTCTCATCAGTAATCCCTCCCCCCAATGCCCACCTACCTACCCACAAGATTTCCGATCTTCTTCTCCTGTGGGACAGATTAAGATATCTATGTCGACTGATGAAACAGGCATTTATGAGAAATTTCACTCTACTATGAATTGCGATAGAGTTACGTACCATATCTGAAAAACGACACTAGACCCTAGAAGAGCCAATGAAAAGTTAACTGAAGACATCTTTTAAAAATATAAAGTATCACAAAACTCAGCAACATAACGTATGGCTCAAGAAACAAAAATTTAATTAAATATTCAAATACCTGCCTGCAACTGTACTTTGGCCCTTAATTCGGCCATATATTTCTTATTAAGTTATTTTTATGACAAGCATATTACTAACAACTTCCTGCCTTTCAACAGGAGAGGTTTGGCTTTTTGGCTTGTTTGGGTTTTTTTGTTTTTTTTTTGTTTTTTTTTTTTAAATAGTGTGATGTATTTAAGACCTTTCAAAGAATCTTTGTAAGTTTATGGCATAATAGTTTATTTTCTGGATATCCTTATTTCAGGTACACGTCTTTTTAAATAGTTATCACTACCCAACCATATATAAGTTATTCACAATAACCCACCTGAAGAGCCTGCAGAGCCAGAGAGTAGTGTCAGAAAGGATCCTTGTTGTAAGTTTTCTCAGTCTTTCCCTGTCCAGTACTGATATATAAGCAGCCAAGCTATGTCCCAGTAGAGCCATGTGACCCTGTTCTCCAACATTTTGTAGTCTGCAAGCCAGAACACTGTATCAGAGTAACTGCCAACTAAACACGCACAGGTCATGAACGTTACAGGAATTTTAGGTTAGCCTATTTTCACCGTAGATTGGCAGAACTTGCTGACAAGCAACCTTAAATATTTATCAGAATGAAGTACAGTACAACACAGTGACCATCCTGCTGTTGTGTATTACCATACACATACTAAAATCCCAGGGGAGACAAAGGCACTTGAACTTGATTTGGCCAAGCTACTTTTGATAACCTTTCAGCTTCTTTTTAGCTATTCAAGGGAAATCATAAAGGGAGCTGAAGGTTTTCTCTCATCAGCTAGCATGAGTTAGAACTGAGCACCTTATCTGCACTGGATTTTAATTTGCATTACACACATACCTTCTTTTCTTCATGCAGACAAAGCCCAGGAGACTATTACTACAAGGCTTTCATTAGTGTTTTTTTAGTATTCTATAAACTACTGCAAATTAGTTAGTATTATTTCCATTTGATGCAAAAATGAAAGCCAAGTTTCTTTTCTTTTCCAATCTACAGCGAGGAGGTACTAAACACTTTTTAATTGATCTTCAAAGTTTTATTTATCTCTCACAAAATTCAACCTAAAACCGCCTTCAGAAAGTAAAAAAAAAAAAAAAAAAAAAAACAAAAACCCCCTTCAAAAAAAAAAAAAAAAAAAAAAAAAAACCACACATGAGTTGTCACATCAGAAATAATTCCCTAATGCATCATTCTAGTTCACCATATAAAGTAATTAAGTTGCCTTAAAAGTGGTTGCACACCATCTCTACACTTTAAAACACTTATGAATTCTATAATGATCACAAAGTATAACAAAATCGGATACCTTCCACATACAACAATTCAAAGAGGCTTTACCTGTAGGCCTGTGAAGACTCCTCCTCCTCCTCTCCATGCATTAGGTTCTGAACTAACTGAAGTATGCTCACCATATCCTGGCCACTGGCAATCCGGGGGTGACGAAACAAAACCCAAATCAAAACAAGAGGTAAGTACCAGCATCTAACGAAAAGGCCACTTAGAACATTGCCCAGTAAGACACGAAGACACGAACATTGCCCAGACTAGACTCGGTTTTAACCAAACACTGAACACAGCAACAAAAGACATTCTCAGCTCCCCAAAAAACAAACTCATAAAGACAAGGTAGCTGTATCAACCAGTTCAAAACCCTATTAATAAGTAGGGCACTTCAGTAAGTATGAACTCGGGCTCACAGGGAGGGGGGGGGGCCACTGAAATCTGAGGATTTGGTCTGAAGAGCTTGACTTGACAACATTCAACTGTTTATTACTAGACAGCAAAGTAAGATAGCTGCTAAGCATCCACGTTTCTCTTCACAGGATCCAGCTTCAACTCAAATTGAGCATATCTCTAAAACAACTATCTACAAAGATCAGTTTCTAGCAAATATGAGCTATATTTAGACTTCTCACATGATGCACTCCAACACAATATAAAATGGAAAGGACCCACAACACCTTAACTTGCATATTTCTAACTAAAATTTATAGTAGCGTAAGAACTAATACACCTAAAGTTGAAATTGCTTTTCATTCTTAGAAAAAGCCAATTTAGTGTCTCTGCTTAAAAAAAAAAAAAAGTTCAGTTTTTGCACACAAGAGTGTCGAAAAGAGACTGTAACATTTTCTTAAGCGTCAGTTTGGACTTATCAGGAACCGCTTGCAGAGCACAGGCTATGATAAATTTAAACTTCAGTTTTCAAACACAGTGATCTGTGTCTGTTGCACAAAAGCTCCATGCAATTTTCCAAACTGCTGTGCTAAACAGGATTTCTTTTATTTTCTTTTTTTCCCCCAAGGTTGTCTACCTCATCCAAAAGGAAATATTAGTCTCAGTTATTAACTTCTTATCTGGATATTTTAATGAATCTTTATTCTGTAGCACGAGTTTATCTGTATCTACCTTATGTCTCAATCACAGCTAAATGCAGCAATGCTTCATTAGCTTGCAGTAGTACAAAATTTCAATTGCAAAGGACAAGTGATCTTTTTTCTCCTAGCATAAATATGGAAATAGTCATAAAAGTAAATTCATACCTGGTAAATGTTCGTGTTTGCATTAATACAGAAGTTGCTTGGAAAGCAAGCATTTACATGTACTTTACAGACTCTAAAAAATAAAAAACAAACAAAAAAATCCCACACCATTAGCTAAAATCACTGTTGCCTACCTGCCTTGGAGTGGTCCAGGAATATCCTTCCGTGTATACCTCTTTTCATTTTCTTCCTCTTTTCTAAATGAAAGAGGCAAGAACAAACTACATATTTAGTTTGTGTTATGTAGCATCAACTAAGTAGTTGACTTTGATTCACAGAAATGCATACTGATATGTTTTGCAACCCATGACTTCACTTAAAACAGTTTTTGATGAATAAAACAAATAAGACCAACATTAAAAATTTAGCTCAGACTGAAATAAAAAGTTCCTAAGCTTTTCTAACTCTAAGAGAAAATGTCAGACTTGGTAAATGGTCTCCTATATGAAGGAAAAGTTAACTTGTATTGCAATAGAACAGCTCCGACATCTGAAAAAGCAGACTCACTGGATTCACTCTGAATACTACAGAACACACACAGAAATGTATACATTTATTTGAAAAATCCCATCATTTGAGAAACAACGGTGATTTGTATAGGTGTAAACTTCAAATGACAATATGACCTCAAGCTACTAGGAAAATGAGTTCTATCTGCTTAATGACAATGACATTAATAACCGTCTCCACAGCACATAAAGCTATTGCTTTTGTGGTTGTTACTTTTTGCGCATACCTTTGATTGTCTTCTAGCATCTTCATTGCTTCATTCAGATTCTTTCCCATCTCTGCTAGAGTAGGGTCAACCATCTTTCAGGAAAAAAAAAAAGATAGCAACTTTTCAGAAAATACTGATAAACCACCTATCTTACTAGTGTCCCCACATCCTTGATAAAAATTCACGCATGAGGCAGATACTTTTTAATTATTCAGTACGTACTCATTTAAAACAGTATTATGTTGTATATCCTGAACTCAGAACACACAAAAACGAAAACATATAACAGAGTATGGAAAACATAATGCTACCTTAAATACAATTTCTTTCAGTGGTAAAATTCATTTAAAAGTTATCCTTTTACTCCATCTGAGAACTCATATTTCCACACTACCAAACATGATCATCTTTTCAGCTGCGTTTCCTCTCTTTGAGGCCAGACTACTCCCTGGCACATTCAGCTCTCTTAGCATACACAGACTCTCATTAAAAAAACAAAACAAAAACTCTAGCCCTTCTGCCATGGTACTAACCGGAAAAAGACACAAGAGGAAAGAGCCAGATCACTGGATAAACACAAGATTTATTCTTAGAAGTTACCTTCTAGAAAAGGAACTGTTAGGGAAGCTAGACATTAAAAATGCCTGCCACCCAGGCTGGTCTTTGAGCGTTCTGATGTAAATTCATAGGAAAATAATTGCATAAACTGGAAGTTTATTCATGTCTTCAGACTGTCAGTTCAACTGAAACGCATTCAAACACATTCAAGTATTAATTTCTATGAGAGATTTAAAAAAGCCAGTATTTCTTAACTGGGGAAAGCAAGATGTTGTTTAGGCTATTCTAGCAAACGTAGAGAGAAGACAGCAGTTTTGCAATACGGAGCACAAACATGAACACAACATAGTGTCATTCAGGTTGAACTTTGTCAATAATAACTTTCAAAACAGATGGGAAACCATCTAATCTAAACAATCTTATAAATCTATTTCATGTACCTTTAAGCCAATTTGTAATCTAAATTTGAGAGATGCCCTTTAACAAGACAAAAGGGAAAAATTGACCTGCAGCTGGCTTAAAGATGACTGACACAGCTTATTTTCAACACTTGCAGCCCTCTAGCTACACAGAATAGGTTTAAAAAAAAAAAAAAAAAAACTGGCTTCACTGCTGAAGCCAGGCAACAACACATACCTGGTTAAGGAGCCTGTCGGGATGGAAAAGAACTTTAAAAATCATTGAACGTAGCTCCTACGAACCAGCTGACAAATCCAAAGAACAGAAGTAGTTTGTTCAAAGCAAATGCAGTTCTTCGGAAAAAATTGTATTTTAAGAACTTAAAATCAAAAAGCCTGGACCCCAAACCAAAGCATTTAGTAGTTAGCCCTTCAGGTCATTGCTAAGATTCGGGGG